ATTGATATACTTATTCCATGATAATTCTATGTTTATCCTTTTGTGTGATGTAAATTAAATGCTGAATGGCGGTTCATGCAGGGAAAGAACATATCAATATTCGCATATTCATTCAAAAACATGAAAATTCTTAATGGAGTACCCTCATTTCTTATTGAATTCCTAAAAAACAATATTTATAATGAATTTTAATAATTTTTTCGGATTTTTTTAAGCTTTATTCTAACAGATTCACCCGATTCCCGATCCGGATCGCCGATTCACCGATCCGAATCGGTTTTTTGAGAGCCCGATCCGGGTCACCGAACCGTTTTTTAAACCATTGCTTTTAGCCATAAAATTCTTAGAAACAAAAATATCATATACAATCAAAATGGACAAGGTAAGAAACAAGTAAAAAATAAAGCCCAAAAATAGAAAGAGAGGTGGGGAAAAAATAAAGCTTGCTCATCCAAGAGAACCGACAAAACTGATGATCAAACTCGTAAACCAGTCAACAACTGGTTTTGATCGGTCCTCAGCAAGTACCAATTTATTGCCTATATTGGAGTGGGGGTTTGGTCACCAGTTCTACCGATCTAACCACGGGTCTGGCCCGGTCTGGATAACTTTAGATAAAAATATTTTAGTTTGTATTGTTTTATATCACTACTTAAATTTTGGGACGTACCCATATTGTAGGAAAAAGTTTCTATTTGGCGCGCCGTGTATAAAAGATAAGGAATTTTGGACTAAGTTTTATATAAGGGGACAATCTTATTCGTAGAAGCGAGATTGTGATATTATATTTGATACATCTTTCAAGATAGCATCAATGAAATCTACATCATACAAATAAAATAGACAATATGGATTATTTTACTATAAGTAAGGTTGTATCCCTATATAAACTTTTTCCTTAACCGAACTAGTTCTATCTTAATTTGATGGCTAAGAGAACACATAAACTCCTCAATTTTTTTTTTTTCTTTTAGAAATCAGGTCAAGGTGAAAAATTTAAGGGCATATGTAACTAATTGCGGCATATATGTAAAATTATTAAAAAATAAAAATTAAAAAGATTAAAACACCCCTAAAGGTTTTATAGGTACTTTGGTCTTTTAATTTTATCAAAATACTTTTTATATATTTTTAAAATTGTGTGATGTGATAGGGATATGTGTCAAAATTTTGTGCTCGATCTGACGTATAAAAAAAACAAAGAAAAATGAAACACTATACACGTTCTCAACCATCTGATCTTGATCAAACGGCTGAGAAACAACTATCATAGATGTTTTATATGTGGTGTGCCATATAGAAAGTTTACTCATCATTGTATAAAATCACACCTAATAAAACATAAAAATTTACTATAGAACAAAATGACCAAATTAATCTTGCAAGTTGTAAAGGTATTTTGGTTATTTTTTATTTCAAATATTTTAAATTTTTATTAGACGTCGCCTTATGAGAAGTGGGCTCACCCAAAATTTTATGTCTAAATAATTTGTACTAAAAAATAAAATAAATATGAGCGCAGTTAAATCATGATCAAACCCTTAGAGGAGTTGTGACATTATGACTACAGTTGTCTTCATCCATTTAGATCGATCATCGGTAACTATTATATATGTTTTATACATGGGTGGGGCCACACACAAAGGTTTATCCTTCTTTTTCATTTTCCCTAATAATGTGGCTTTTTGAGGTAGAATAATAGGATAGGCACTCAATTAGGAGATTTGCTTTTGATGATTTGATAAAGGAAAAAGTTTATATAAGGTGGTAACCTTAAAATGTAGAATTACAGATGCACTTCAAAAATCCATTGGAAAATGTTGTTTTAATTTTAAAAAAACTTTAAGTGATCATCTCGACATCGAGATATATGAATATGGGAAAAAAAAAGATTTTGAGTCTTAGAAATAGTGCATCTTGCAATACATTATCTAGACCGTCCATTTTCAAGATTTTATATGTTTATATATCTACTTGGTTTTAACCATTTTTTAGTTTAAAATTTTATAATT